TCATGCTTGCACGAAGATTAACTGGAGAAAATTATTTGGATTTTCTACAAAATACGTTGCCAGAATTGTTAGAAGATTTACGTTTCCAACTTCGGAGAGATATGTGGTTTATGCAAGATGGAGCTCCACTACATTTTTCTTTAAACGTTAGAAACCACTTGAATGAACAATATCCACACAAATGGATAGGCAGAGGTAATGACGCACCTGTAAATTGACCACCACGTTCCCCAGACCTAACACCGATGGATTACTTTTTATGGGGACATCTAAAATCCACAGTTTACAGGGAACCTGCAGAAAATTAGGAACAACTCTGGCAACGTATTCAAGATGCAATAAACAATTTTAGAAGTGATGAAGAAGTTATGGAAAGGATACATTTTAATTTTCTTCGACGTATAAATCTTTGTATGCGTGAAAATGGTAAACATTTGGAACAATTTTTGTCAAATCTCTATTTTGATTATGTTGTAAATAAATATTTTTGTGAAACCTATACACTCTATATTATTAAAACAGAAATTTAGCGAAAACCATGAGAGTAATCGAGTCTTATCAAGAGTACTTTTTTAAAGTAAATGAGTTGCGCAATCTAAATTTCATACTCAAACTCCTTTTCTTCTATTGGCGTAGAATTTTTAAAGGTGCAATTACTTAAAAAATCAAGTTCTACGCCTATGTATTATTATCGGACAAAATTTTAATACCATTTTTTGCCACATAAAACTCTACCAATATACTAAATTTCTGAAAAATCACATATGCTGTTTTAAATTTATATGCGAAAAACGATTTAAAAATTGTAACTTCAAGGCCCTCTGGAGCCCAAACGAAGCAACTTTGTACTGAGGTAATTTCACTTAAATCGACTTATTTTGGTCTAAGGAATATGTGGTATGTTTTTGTAAAGACCTTCTACAGACACCCTGTATATATTTTCCACATACATCTAACTCGAAACATTTTTCTATATTACATTCATTCAAAACAAAAATACTGAAAAATTACATTTTACATTTTTCCTCCAATTTTTCCATTTTAGAGAAATTATGTATGAAATACGAATTATAGACAATTATATCACAAACAACTTTTATTTAAACAATAATCTTGAAAAATTTTAATTTTTTACATTTTGTAAAATTTCTTAAATACGGACCATTTTAAGAAAATTTTGGATACAACAAAAATTATAGAGAAGTAATTTTTATTTGAAGAATTTTCTTCTCCAAACACAAATAACAGATTTATTCCATAAAATATAAAAACGACCTTATATAAGTACCCCCCAAATGTTTCGACTCTGCCTAAAATCTAATGAGTTCACCTCAGGCCGGAACAAAACTTAAGTTTAAAATTTAATGTTTCTTTCTTTATCCGTTCTTGAGTTTTCTTCAAAATTCGAAATTTACACTTTTTCTCAAAATTATGTATGAAATAAGAATTATAGATAATTAAATTTTAGACACCTTGTTTTAAATGTGAAAACGTGAACAGGATCCATACTTCTAAAGTAAGAAGTTAAAAGAATTAACTTCAAAATTATTGTTTTAAAATTATTTATCACCCTGTATACTATATTTATACCCACTTTATAAAACACGTATTAACATGGTTTTATAACGTTTTATTAAATATATCGTAAGCAATATTTGAAATCTAATTAATTAAGAAACAAAATAAAGAATGTCTTTAACGGCATATTGCCTATCACTTCATAGCGTTCGGCTGGTCGAACGTCAAGTCCTTGCTCTCCTGTTCCTGGACACTGCAACGGGCAGACGTGGTACCGTCGACCCCAGTGGCGGCGATATCCTAATTCGCTGACTCTAACACTATCATTTCCTTTATCGTTTCTAATACATACGTAGACCTAAACAACTAAAAGAAATATATCGAGCTGAAATAGTAAAGTGTCCATTTTTATTTGAGCTAGGCTGTGTAATTACGAACCCATGCTATTTGTTTTCGTCAATACGAATTCAACGTAGCATATTTGAACCAAAACTTACTTGACATGTTAATTATTATCAACGTATAATTCTTTAGTTCAATGTAGGCCACTGACTGGAGTAATAACTTAGTTGTTTGGTTTATTTTAATACATTTTTTTTCTGTTTGAATATTTAGTTTTAGAATGTTTGTTTAATTCTTTGTATTTTACTAATATTAATTCAATTATTACATATCTAGAGTTATTTAACATTCATTTCTGGTACCTTTTTATAATTTATTTGTTAATAATGTAACTAACAAAACATGCATTTTTAAATCAATACAAGTTAGTAAAGTTATAATGTTTGGAAAAGTTTAAATCTAAATTTACTTTTCACCTTTCAAAATATGGTTCCATGATATATCTTATTTTCTCACTTGTTCACGCATAGAATCGAAAACATGCTGTATGTATATCACCCTGCATTTTGCCAAAGTTTGTTTATTATTTATTACATTACACAGAAACCTACGTTACTCCTATTCAAATATAAAATATATTGTGTTATCTAATCTAGTTGGCTATTATTTCTAAGCTTTGCCGACAGAATGATTTGAAATCTAGAAATATGGCTTTATGTATAATAAACATATATTTTATCTACCTATACCAAGTAATCCATGCATAAAAAAATATTGTTTTGTATCAGGTGTTGTTGATAAAATTGTTGTTTTATGTCGGTTTACCTTTATATGACGTGTTTGTAATTTATATACAATACACTGAGAAAACAAGGTATATTGAGCATGTTTAATAGAAAAAAATTTGATAACCACTAATAAATTACCATATTTTCGGTTAATACCAACAATTAAACGAAGGTTTCTAAAAATCTATTAACCTAAAGCTACTATAATTAGTCAGTTATTTAATAGTCAATAATGTATTATTAAAAAACTTTAATATCGATAATTCTGTTATTTGTTTAATAATATTATTCATTAAACTCTTTAATACTTTTTAGTAATTGTTTAATAACCCTTAGTAAATATAAACGGTTTTATCTCTTCCACTCGTCGAGGAGACTCTACGAAACTAGTATTCATGCGAGGTCGAAGATCCACGTTCATGATCACCACGCCACATGCCACTAACCTAACTACCTAACTACATTCATTTTCTTTTGATTTGTGTTAATAAAAAGGCGCCATAAAAAGGGAACCGCGTTGGCTAAGGGAAGGAAAACCCCGACAGAAAACCAGGATGAAGCAGACTAGTCGAAAAAAAACCGAAATCTAAGGTGTAAGCCATCGTGCCGAGGTACGCATGGCCGCACGGACGCGGTCATGAACGATGCCTCCGGGAACCAGGCGAACTCCCGAAGTACGAAGCCTATGGGAGCACTGCCCCGCCGGACTTTTATTTCTGCCCGACTCGTGGGAACAAGGATGAGCTTAACTAAATAAAAAACAAAAAACGACGGATTAGGAGATTGAGGACATTAATACTCCAGTACTAAACCTGATGGATAAAGAAGACCCGTTTAAAATAAGGGATTCAATAGGCAGATCACCGGCTAGGAAAAACCTCTTAGAGACTGAGGTCTTCTCCACGCCAAAAGCAGAAGGTGCGGGATTTATAGACGAAGAGCTGGATGATAGCCTAATATACAAGCTCGGAGAGTAACTTGGCATCACTATATTGATTCAAAAAGCGATGACTCAGAAGACAGCGAAGATAGACAAATCAAAAGGAGAAAAGACGATGCAAAAAGAAAAAGGGTATATACACGCCTCCAAACGAACAGGATCTGCACATAGGACCTTTCACAAAGATGTTAGGGGAACTTCAAAAGCAGGGCGATGCCCTATACAAAATGACAAAAGAAGTTGTGAACACAAAAGTTGAAATGAAGGACAACACAAAAAAGCTTTACTCCTTAATTCACAGGCTAAACCAAAAGTGGGAAAGTGCTGAAGAACACTTAAGAGAAGAGAAAATCCATTTGGCCAAACAGTCCAAAATAGACCGTATGGTAGAGACGCCGGTTACCCAGAAAGAGTCACAGAGCATTGCAACCCAAGCCTGCGAAGAAGAAATTATAAAGATAACGAGCAATGTTGAACGCACAAAAATGATAACACGCAACATAAAAAACATAAAGGACGAGAAAAATCTGGCACAGATCCTAAAAGAGCATTGGCCAAACGATGTGTACCAGCATACAAAGGTACTCGAAGGAAACCCACTGAAAGCCTCAGACGACACTGCCATATATTGTAAAGACCCGGAAATGAAGTCGCGAACAGCGAGAAGGTACAGGGAAAGGTACCACGAACTTAAATGCTTAGAAATGCAGAACACCATCTACGGCCAAATCGGAACGCTTATAAATGTCACTAAAGTACCCTCTGGAGACAAATTTAAAATAACAGAAAAATACGTTTTCAAGATGATCCCAACAGGGCCGGTAGATGACATAAATAGGGAGTTTAAACTACTCACTATACTTGACGAAGCAATGAAGACGGCGACAAAAGCCAAGAGGCAAAAGGTTACGCTACCAACACCAGAAGATCTAACTGAAGACAGAGCTAAGAAAATAATGGAGATAGTGGCGATGAAAGTCGGTATAGAGGCAGAACTATACGTACAAAAAAGACAGGCAAAAAAAACACAACAGTCCAGAAGCGATACAGGCATAGTGGTCGTCAAACCAGGAGCTAACAAATCCTACGCGGACTTACTAAAAGAGGTAAAACGGGAGATCTCAAGCTTTACCGTCCCGGTTTAGGTACAAAGAGTGCGACAGACTCGCGAGGGAGGACTAGTTCTGGAAATAAAGGGGAAAAAAGAGGAAGCCACAAAACTCAAAGACCTCATTACCAAGCAAGGCAATATCACGGCGGAAGCCAGAATAGGAGGCAGAGCAAAAATTCTGAACATCATTGGAATAGATGCAGTGACAGAAAAGGAGGAAGTACTACAAGCCATAAAAGACCAAATAGGAGAATTAAATGCGATAGACGTTAGAATAACGGTTAAATAACTACGACCTACTATGAGGGGGAACCAGATTGCAACAATCGAGGCTGACGAAGAAATAGCAGAAAAACTACTAAATCAGGTAAAACTGCGGCTTGTGTGGCTTAGCTGCCCTATAAGGAATAGAGTGGAAATACCGCGTTGCTACAAGTGCCAACATTTCGGCCACTTAAGGGAGGAGTGTAAAGGTGAAGACCGCGAAGGGGACTGTCTAAGATGTGGACAAAAAGGACATCGAGCAAAGGACTGCAAGGAGGACGCACTTGAATATTGCCACAACTGCAACATACAGGGACACGGGTACAACACAACAAAATGTCCTGAATATAAAAAACTCCTGGATGCCAAGAGGACGAGGAGAAACAATAGACCCCTTAAAACCCAACAATGAACAACGCCCAAAACAAACAACATCTAAAGGCCCTCAGAAAGGGCAAACCTTGATCAGGATACTTGTTCTACCCTAGCTTTATTGGGCTTGACATCTACTGCCTTCAATCATGGTGGACTGTATCATAGTATATTACCTGAGTTGGAGGCCTTATGCACCACCCTGTAGCCTTTGGGAGATATTTTTGGAGTTCTGGTTGAAGCACTGGGTTTATTCAAATAAAACTGTTACCCTATACTTGAATTTGATATATTCACGGCCTAATGATTTCACATTTTACACATTTACTACTTGGTTACATAAATTTATTGATCGATTACATATTAACTTTTGTAAATCAACTCTACAATGCTTGAAATTAATTTACGGCAAATGCCGGCTTTGCAAGTGTTTGACTTGTCGCTTCGTCGACTGAGAAAACGAAAGTGAGTGTTTTGTTTTGCGATGCTTGTTAGCTCGCATCGGTTTTACCGGCTTTCTTCTAATTGGTTATCTAGTATCGTATAATTGCACGCGAGAGTAATGATTGGGTGAAAAAATAACGCGTGACTTAGTTTTAATTGTTGGCGAAGTAGCAGGTGTCTTTGAAGGTTATTTGAAAGTTAACCGGGTTGTTATTTCACAAACTTTGGATAATTGGTTTATACAGGGAGTGTCTATTTAGTATTTTATTCTTTTTTATTTGTTAAATGCTGATTTAGATTAGCAGATAGGACATGTTGAATGTAATTTCAACAATACTTCAGACATACCTCAACAGGTGCATTGCCTCTTACGACGTAGCGAACGCGACGGCCGCAGACATAGGAATAGATGTACTGGTATTTGGAGAGCCAAATAGAGCACTAGTCAAGAGCAACAGGTGAATAATTGTTGCATGGTTGGATTGTGATAGAGCTCAATTTTTTTGTGAAGAGCACACTTCGTCATATTGTGCAGAAATTAATTTGAGTTTGTAGGTGTGGTCAGACAGATTTAAACGTGATTGAAGCCACCTGATGCTCATCACCGCTCATACATGTTGAATTCAGTAGCTTAGTGTTACTTATTTGTACTTGTTTCATTTATTTAGCTATTTTGAGTGTGGCATAGCTATGACGAAATGTGCTCTTCACAAAAAAATCGAGCTCTACCTGAGCCAATTGTGTGTTTAGTGCGGTGTGTTTTATGTACATTTTACCAGGCGCAGAATGGATTATAATACACAATTTAATTACACATTTTGTGGTTAGTAATGTAAGAAACATTCGCCCATGAATCGCACATGCTTTAGGTCCATTTTATATGTGACTGGGCTCGTATATGTTTTATTTTTATGTATTTTTTTTAGAATTCTCTATTGACGCAATAAATTGTTTAAAAGTATTTACAATTTTTTAATGTTACTTACTTGTCCTATATATTCTTATTTTTAAAACATGATGCAGAAATAAGTTACGTAGATAAACGTGTTTTGTGCTTTTAAGGTTTTTGCAAATGTCTCATATGAAATATATCTGTATGCAAACTTTTGGTAGTATCTCAGTTTTAAAGTTTATTATATAAAGCTTTATTATGTGTAATCCTCTAAAGCGACTTTTTTTAAAATTTGATCAGTTTATTTTCTAAAAAAAATAGTTAAAAATCGTTAAAAAATAAAGTTTTTGTGATGTTTTCCATAAAAACTAAATAAAAGTAGCTCTAGAGTAACACAGATTTAATCTATGCAACGTATTTACTTTAAGAGTGGGGTATACTATTAAAACTTTACATTTGTACTACTGTACTTAAATAAGACACAATTGCCAATTTATTTGGAGTGGAGGGGATTTAGTCGACCTCTATAAACCTATTTAATAACCACAATTAAAGTGGTTTAATAGGGAGTATTAAAACTTGCAAATGCCCATCATTAAACCATTTAATAACATTCAATAATTAATTAATATTTATTATCAAAACGCTATTAGGCTGTTCAATACCTGTCATTACGCTGTTTAATAATGACTATTTAAGTATTAAGTTTCTCTATTAAACTTTATAATACTTCTTATTAAATTATTTACTAACGTTTAGCAAAGTTTTTTTATTAGTTGCTTGTGACAGCAACACTGATCCAAGAACAAAAGTTTATTAGCTGCTATTAATCAGTTTATCTGCCTCATATAGTATTAAAAAATTTAATACTATACTATTAAATGTTTAATACCCACTAGCAAAGTTTTTTCTCGGTGTAATAATTACAACAAATTAATAATTGAATAAACCAACTTATTACACGCGATTTTTGTTTTAATAATATCTACCTATTTACATTCCACAATAAATAAATTACAATCATCACCAACTTCTTTTAGCAATAAATTATTGTATTAAATTATTTATTTTAATTCTTCTCACTTGTCAGTTGTCGTAACCTGTCATATGTGTCAAAACAACACGTCGTAGGTGATAATTGATAAATTCATTTAAAAGCAATAACTCTATTAATATGATTAATAGCTATTTATGCAAACAGTTACGAAATACCTTATTTTATGTAACGAGAAAATATTTGCTAGACGAGCAGAGCGAGGTCCCGCAACATGAACGATTTACACAAAATGGCATTTTATAACGTGTTACGTACAAGATTTGTTCTAATTGTGACTAAATTATTTAAAAAAATTTGAAAAAAAAAACATTAATTCTGTATATTTATAATTGAAAATTTTATGAAAGGAACATTTGAAAAATTGTAGTGAAAAAATGTGGCATTTTATATAATTTGGTTTATTTGAATAAACACAAACAGTAAGTTCAAATGTTTAAAAAATAAACCATCAAGTACGTATATTTACGCTTACTTAAAGGATTTTAATTATATTCAGGAGCGGTTTCTTCATTGCTTCAGTTGTGCAGTAAACACCCAGTTACATTTCATAAAAACATATTATTTTAAAATAAATAACATAAGATTAATAATTTTTTGTTTTCGTACGTGTTAATATCTATTTTTGGGTGAGAAGAGCTCTCGAAAGTCCTTAGCTAGAAAGAGATATCGTACGTTAACACATCTGTGGAACGTAGTGAAACAAACAAAATCACTTATATTAGCTTAATTTGCCGCAACGCACCCAGTGATGTTACAAAGTAGTGCGGGGCATACGAACTTTCTAATTATTGATAAAAAATAAAGAGAAAATGCTATGACGATAATAGTTTTACGTAACATGTCAAACCCTATCAAGTGGAGTTAGTAAGTTTTAGTGAAAATCAATACAATTTTTTTTAAATAGTATGACTTGAATGATATAAAAACATTTTCATTTAATCAATCTTCAAATAGAAAATTATTAACGTCATTAATTAAAGTACGACTCAAAGTGGGTTCACTTGTCATATCGCAAAATAGTGTTTATGTCCGCTCTCTACATTATTTTATCTTGGTGTTTCCAATCGAGCTGTTAAACTCTAAAATTCACCATAAGACAATTTTAATTGTGTTTATTTAAAAATCGTGTTTAAATAAAACTGCGAATTTAATTTAAATAATAGTAAATGTTATACCTGGAGCTTGGAGACGTGTTTCGTTAACAATCATTGAACTGACACACATACTTCCGATTTAAAGTATGTAGTTATCAGAAAATAAACCATTTTATTGATACAACCTTAATTTTCTTAAGAAACCTCTGTTATCTATAGCCCCATATTGCCAATTTTTTAAGTGCCTGTATTTTATAAAATATCGGACAATCGATAACACTATTGATGGTAACATACGGCAATCGAGTGTCAATTCCACAAAAAATATTAATTTATTTTGTTTCTTTTACTTTTAATTTCCAGCCATATCCGACGATTTATGCAATCACTTTAACTAAATTGTAGTAGATATTGACTAAATATTAATATTAAATCATCTCTAGAATACTTTTTAAAAACTTTTGAACTTGATTACTTTGTGTAATCCAAAAGTTTTTAAACTTTTTTTAAAATATGAAATTTGTTATCTTATTATGCATTGTCAACCGACACCTTTTTAAATTAAAGAGGATGGCTGAATCCGTTCAATTTCTATTGAGTCAGCTGTAACGTGACGTCAACCCCTGTATCCTTTCAACGGCTTAGCCGGAACTCATTTAAAGTATACATCGATACAATACACCTTTTTTTATTCTATTTATTTTTAAACTAAAAGGTATATCAGATATTTAAAATATCACTTTACCCAGAAAAAAATTACAAACATCCCAAAATTACAGAAGTAAAATAGGCAATAAATTTGAATACTGGCGCCATGTTATCTAAAAATATTTTTCAAAGAGACATTTAGGAAATTTGACATGCTAGTCATAAGATAGAAGTCGAAATTTATATACAAAGTGTACAAAAGTTAATGAAACTTATTAAAATAAGATTTCTGATAGATTCACAAGAAAGTTTTGAATAAAAGTTTTATGAAATTATTTAAGTTATCAGTGTAAGTTAATAGGAGATATAGTGGGTTGGCCATTATTCCAAAATTAAGCAAGAATATATTTTTCCGTAGTGTATCAAACTTAAAATAAAACCATTAAAACTGCATTGTGCTAACTTTATTAGCTGGAATACGTACCATTAAAAAAATATCCTTTCGTTTTTTTTTTGAGTAATAGTGCGCCTAGTAATTTCTAAATGAATCATACGGTATATTCCAATAATTTGTTGAAATCTACAAAAGTTAATATAAGAGAAGATCTTACTCCTGAGCAGTCAAGACTATTAAAGATGGCGATAACAAAATTGGTAAAAATGGGAAAACCTGGACCAATTCTGGTACAATTTTCATCAAGCCAAAAGAAGCTGAAAATGTATACAAAACTCTTTCAAGTGAAGATCTTTTGAAATTGTAAACTATTTATTTAGTTTTCATTTAGCAAGATGTTCTTTTTCTTATTCGGTGTCCTTTCTTCTTTAGATTGTTTAGTTTAGAAAATGATTATTTTCCTAAATTATTCTATACTCGAACAAAATATTGGAGAAGGTGACTCATCCCT